TTTCCCCTTAATCTAATCAGCTAAACCTTAAAGTCAATTGTACAACTACTGCCTGTCATAGTATCACTATAAAAATTCCATCTGAAGTGGATAGCTTCTGGAGCAACTACTGTTACTTCAACTCTGATTCTTGCTGCTTTATGAATTTAGACACGTGACACCAACCTCCTGTCACAAAAGTCTTCTGGGGTTGAAACAACTCGGGGAGGAGGGGATCTATAAAAAAGTAAGCCTACAATACTTGGCACACTGTTTCTCAAGTTAACTGAAAAAAATATGAAAAGCCTTAACAGTCTATTAACTTTTATTATCATCATCATCATCATCATCATCATCATTATTACTTAAAATGAAATTTCCCTCTTAGAAGAAAAAAAACTGACTGAAGTCTTGCTACGTAATTCTCTATTTTTAATTCACTACCAAAAGTGCTTTTGAATTTTAGACATTTAAGCACCATGAATCTCAGGAAAATGTGGCTCTGTCTCCCAAAATACACTGCCACTTACTTGTAAAATGGTTGATCTCAAAAAGATGCTGATAAACAGTCATCCAGAGTTTCCACTATTTACACTAAACCACAAAGTACCCAGCAAGCTTGACTGTGTTTGTGCCAAGGAGCACCAGCGTCACATCAGAAGAAATATACCTGAAACAGAAATATGGTAAATCCTAAGTTCTCTAAAAATAAAATATTTAGTGTGGATTTCTATTTTGTAATCAGAGCTCCATCATATTTTCTTCTAATATTAATAGTCATTCTAGTAAATATCTAATCACAGCCCAGAAGCAGCCTACAAGATGAGCCTTTGTCATAACCTTGGTGGTTGATGTAACAATCCCCATGATGACCAGCGCTTCAGTCACTATACTGGTCACTACTCACTTGCCCAGGAATGCCACTAAGCCCAGAGGGAAGCCCTGTGAAAGTGCTCAGTGCTCCTGTGCCTCATGGCTGAAGATGGATCACCCAAAATTTATTCTCATCCACCAAGAGAGAGCAGTAAAACACCAACGGAAGCAGCCATCTTCTTCGGGGCTGACAACACCATTCCTAAATCAGAAACAACCATTACCTCTGAAGGAGACCATATTACTCCAGTAAACGAGTGCACACCAGATGGTGATTTTTCTACTACAATCAACAAGCTCACACCGGCAAAGGAAAAGCTCAAGCTGGAAGATGATATCGAGGCCACTCTGAAGTCAACAACTCTTTCAGATAAAGAAATTACTCCGACTGAAACTCCAGTCTCCAAAACTAAGGAATCAATTACTGAAAATTTCATTCCAGTGAAACTGGGAAACATCTCCTCCCCAGTTGGTACTGTTTCTTTAATAGATTTTTCCAGTAACATGGCAAAAGAAGACATCATCTTAGCCACCATTGACTCGGGAGACAAAGAAATCCTACCTACTGCTGAGCTCTCTGGCACAATGGAGGACAGCACTGAGGATTCGGAAGATGCCTCTGCACTTCCAGATGAAAACACAGAAGCTGACGGTAACTCCTCTACCAATTCCGACGTTCCTGATGATGGAGCTCTCCAGGTCACTGACTCCTTGAGTCCTGAGGCTGAGATGCCTCCCTCTCCTGAAAAAGAGGTCACCACCCCTCCAGACACAAGCAACGTTGCAGAAGAGAACGCAACTGAAACTGACCTGATTGTTTCAGAGGATACCCCCAAAGCTGCAACTAAATTATCTGACTCAGATGAAGAAAAGTTTATCACTGTTTTTGAACTCACTAACTCTGCTGAAAAAGCCAAAGATAACCCAGAAGATGCTTTAACTGATGAGGAATCGACTGATGGAGTTAATGCTTGGATGGAGAAAGAGACTGTGAATGAGGCAGAGAACCATTCTGTTTTGCTTACTGCTGTTGAATCCAGGTATGACTTCATTGCCCCTGCCTCAGGAACCAAGAACAGCGTGGAGGAACCGACCGCTAACACAACAGAAGATCTATCTGAAAATGATACAACAGAATCAGTAACTAAGGACACGGAGGAGTTTCCTTCAGTGACATCGATAGTAGAGACCCTTAAACACAAGGAGGACTCTTCTACAACTGACTCTGGTATCTTCAAATTGCTGAAAGAAGATCCCGATGACCTAATGATGTAGAAGCAGCAACATAAGGGAGGCCATGTAGAAATACACAACGAATTAAAAGGTAGTCTTGATGTTTAAGAAGTTACTCAACAAGAAAAGTAAAAAAGAAAAGAAAAAAGAAAAATACTGTGGGCATTTAAGGCAAGTATTAGACTTAGAAAATACATATGTCTATGAATAGAGGTCATGTAGCAGAGTATATTTAAGAGCAATTTTAAAACCAACAATCTCAGTACTTTCCTGGGTACCATGGCTTGTTATATAACAATTTACCTTAAAGCAAAATACTCCATACTAGATTTTAAAGATAGGAAGAGGGCAAGAGTTGAAGGAATCCATTTCTTGTGACATTTAATGAGTGCCATTTCAGCTCATTCTAAACATTATAATTTAGTGAAAGTAAGGCTATAAAGAGAATCAAGTAACATTTATAAAGCATTAAAAAGTTTTCTGAAAGTTGGATTCTAAAATTTTCCTATTTAATGTCACACATGTGATTCTCTTCTATTAGAAGACAGATTTGAAGTCCTCACCAATGTAAGAGTTCAAGCTTCCTGGTAGTCACTAAACACCCATGTGGGACGTAAGAAATCAGACATGCTTCTTGGCTCATATTTGATGCTGACTAAAACAAAATGTTAGCTTTACATATATGTTCATTTGAAAAATAATGTAGAAACATGAATTGATTTAATGTTCTTTCTGCTAAGATTTACATCCTGAATTTTTGTCAATTTTTTTCAGATCATAAATGATGAATATTGTACTCCTCTTAGGCTGTTGGTTAGCAATTCAAGGACACATATCTTCATCTTTTTTTCTGACAGAGACTTTCCAAATGAGTCTGTTGTCACTGTGCTGATCCTCCTCAATAAATCATTCTGCAAGCAAACCGTTTACTGTGTATGATGTGTTTAATATTCTGGTACAGAATTCTTAAGGTTCATACAAGAAAAATTAAAGTCTTGCTTACAAAACAAATAGCATTAATCAACAAAGATCCATAATTTCCTTTTTTTTAAACTGAAGAAATTAAAACATGCCAAAACACTGAGTAAATAGCAAATATCGTATATGAAAGAGGAACTTTAAATAAACTCTGGACTAGTACTGTGTTTAAACCCAGAAACACATTATTATACAAACATTTAATATGAGACGAAGAATACTTCTGATTATGAATATCATGGCTCATCTCTCAAACAATCAAGTACTTGGGGAAAAAATAAATTGGAATACTGTTTAAACTATATCCTAAAACTTTAAAAAATGCATTTCCCCAAATAAGGACAATAAATTCATCTAAGCATATAACAGAAAACAAAACAGAAGATTAACATGCACAACACAATGAATAGTCAAAATTATATACAAAACATAACTAATATATAACCCAAAAACAAAATAACTGGAAGAAAATTGCATTATATGTGGCAAAGAAAAGACCCTTGTTACATAACTACTTCCCAAAGAGAAATGCCCAGAAAATTTCACCAACATGACCACCAACGCATGAGCTGAACAAGGACAACAGTAAGACATACCAAAGTTGGCAGGAAAAGCTCTCCCGCCACATGGCTTCAACTCTACACAAAGAGCTTCAGGCAACTAAGAAATGCTGGGAGTAGGAGAAATAATCTTTCCCACGGACGAGCACACCAATTGGTTGTCCAATAGCAAATGATCATCCCTGTCAACATATATACAACATACACACAAGTAACATTATACAGACTGAGCAGATTGTATTTAGGAACATATATGTATGTGCATATACATGTAGGCATCTAACAATAATTAATGGAAAAAAGAGGCCACTAATTTGAAAGAAAGGAAAAATATGTGGGAGGCCTTGTGCCTCTCATTTCTCATGCCCAGTAAATTTGAAGTTTTTGTCATAATAAATATCTTTACATTTTAAAGAGCATAGGAATAAATCTTCCCCCATTCCTATAACCTTGTCTTCATCCCAAGATCAAGTAAATTTTTTTATATTTTTATAGTGTCATTTTATAATGTAATTTGGCTATATCACATATATTTCTGTACTCAAGTAATCTCTCTAGAGAAACAACACACTAGGATACAGAGAGACAGACAGACAGACAGAGGCAGAGACAGACAGACAGAGACAGAGGAAGAGACGCTGGCTGGAAATCCACGTAAGAGCTGTTGCTGCAGAATGGAGTCTGGGGTCCATGGGGTCTGCCAGCAGGTAAGAAACTCCAACAGAGTTCTGTGTTACTGTCATCTAGAAACTATTTTTTCCTTAGACACACCTACATTATAGAGCTCATCCTATTTAAATTCGGTGTAAATGATAATCATATCTTTTTAAAAGTCTACATAGTGAATAACTGATAGGCTAGTACTTAGCAAAACAACACACCACTTGACACATAAAATTAACCCCACACTATATATAGATACAGTCAAAATGTCACATATAGCTACTGGTTAATATGCCCTGAGCTAGCTTCACTGGAATTAATGCACGACTACCTGATAATGACAGTGTCTGCAGTTTATTCACTGCAAAAATTAAAAATTCTCTTAACAGAAGTTAAACATTACTGTCAACAAGCCTCAGCTTTTCTGATGCGCACACATAATGACATTCACTGGAAAAACGATAAAAAGACAAATGTCAACTTTTGAAGACTGCACCACTCCCCTGTGCTGTAGGAACTAGTTTGGATTAGCCCAGAAGCAAGTGGTAAAAAATAATTGTAATAATATCTTGCTTAGCAATATAGAAAGAGACAAAGGAGAAAAGGAATCTTGCATAAGGCGAGCATCTCCTGTCTTCTTTCTGAAGCCTCCAGACTGCAGAGGCTGAGGGAGCAGACAGCTGGACAGGCAGGAAACAGAGCTACTTGGTACGTGGTTGTGGCCATTGTTTCAAATTTCAGAGGCTTCGCAAACAGCCTCCTTTTAGACTTTGGTTATATCTAGTTTATAAGTAGTAAAAATGCTGTAAAATCTCAAGCCTTGCTTTTCATAAAGTTTTAAGCTCAGCTATTTTATAATTAAAAATGAGGAGGCATGCTTCAAGAAGTTGTCACCTGTGAATTTTGTTCACTTTTGTTCAACAACAATAATTTTGGTAATGATGAACACTGCTTGCTGTCTGGAATGCCAGGAAGCCTTAACATGGGCTTTGAAGACATGAACTAATATTTTGTTTTTATACAAGAAATGATTGGGTCTGCTTTCTTCTTATCAGTGAGTTGTTTCCATTCTATTTACTTCATTTATTACAAAGAAAAAGGTAAAGAAATAGCAAAGTATGCCTCGTATTTTTACTATTACAACTCTTTCACACAATACAGAATCATTCATTAATTGAATTTTTGTTATTTTTAGAGCATTCAAATATGACTTTTCTACAAAATAAATTAATCACTTCATTTTGAAAGTTATAAAGATTACCCTCTGATAGTTTGGGTAACATAACCAGGATGTGACAACTCAGCCAGTTTTTGTGACTGGTAGGTCAGGCAGCCTTCCCTCTGAATCTCAAAGACATTAATCCCATAGAAAATCCCATAGAAAAAAGTCACCATCAAAAGTTCACAGTTCTTTGTTAGTTCAGTTGTTTTAATGTAAAGGTTAGAAGTTGTCTTTGTCATTCTTCACTTTTAGGAAAAGAATTAACTGAGTAAATGCTAGCAAAAACAAAAAAGGTTGATTCATAGGTGAAGCATCTTTTGTGATTGCAAAATTATGAATATATATATAAACACTCTTCAGCTAACTAGAGTTGGAAAGTTGTGAAGTTTTCTCATTTGACTTGGTTAAGAGAATCTCATTATAATGATCACAATAGATAATTAAAACTTTCAAAAGTTTGTTTCTTGTAAATAACAAATGTAAGACTGATGACAAAATTAGCACACACCTTTCATACTTCTAACTTTACAGATATTTTTCAGATACAAATTGATAGAGTTTTCTGTTTAAGTATGTAAAAATCAAAAATTGGAGGCAGAAGGAGAATTTAGTAGAATTTACATGGGGATTTTTATGTTCAATTTATTAAATCTACCAAGGATTACAAAAAATTTACAACAGAAAATCCATACGTCAATCATTCCTCAAAATACCTTTGTTTTCATATCTGTTTATATTCTACATTCATGTATTTAGAAAACTCAAATACAGTGTGTTAGACATTTAATACTGCATTTTTCAAACTTCTAAAAAGTCCACATAACTATCAGTGCTTCCATTTTTTCATGGAGAGCAACACTGGAATGGATGTCATTGGGGTTTTACCAACTGCCTAATGTATTAACACTAAGAATTTGTAAGTTACAGCTATGAGTGGTATTAAATGTTTCTTTTGCATCCTTCATCAACTTGCAAAACTACCTCAGTGGAAACAAAGTTCGAGTGAAAGGATGCCGGCATTAGCACATTTCCTCACATACCCTGTTTGCGTAAGTAACTTCTTTCAAAATAACACTCTGGTAACCACAAAATCATAGCTCCAAAGAGTAACTCAATATGTGAATTTGAGACAATAAAACAATGACTTATCTCTGTGCTTTTCATACCCCATGTAATTTTTTAGTACACAATTCTTGAATCTTCCTTATTTCTCTTAGACTTGATATTTTACTTACAACTTGATAAATTCATCTTACATCATAAATGTATATAGGCCATAGGTATACCAATTAGGCATAAATTATTTTTCTTTGGTTAATATCATGCAGTGAATAAATTTGTATTTGTCTCAGCATCACCAATGACAGTCTTTCTGTCTTGTCCTAGGGGAATCTCCAACAAGATGAGGACTCTGATTCTACCTGTTGTCATCTTGACCATAAATACTTGCTTATCAATAAGTGTAGAATACATGTTCTTCTGCTCCTCATCACAAAGTACACATGCAGCTTGTTTGATTGATCAAGAACTGTTTAATTTCTGTCTAATGGCTTCATTTCAGCTTCTCTGGGGGTTTTCTGTCAGTCTGCGAATGCGAATGCCATGTTTCATCCTTTGTCCTGGATATTAATAATCTTTTGACTGCTAAAGGTGTGTAAACATAACACTACAGTCTTTTAAGTTTTAGATGTTAAATAGGATATGCAGACAGATTCTACTTCTGCAGTAGCACACCTACATAAAAGTTAGTCCCAGTGGTTCTTCAAAAGAAGAAATGTGTGAGGCAGAAAATGATTAAAGGGAGCCATGTAAGAGACGAGGAAGGTGAGCCATCCGTGGAGGGTCTGCCTCACAAGCATGAGGTCCCAAGGTTAGAGACATAGAACCCATGTAAAAAGCCAGGAACAACAACATACTCCTGTAATCCCAGGATTGTAAGATGAAAAGTAGAAATGTAAGAATTCCTGGAGCTTCACTGCCAGCTGACTCAGCCTACATGATAAATCTTTAAGACAATGAGAGACCTTGTCTCAAAAAAAAAGGTAGAAGATACCTGACAGCTCAAGTGGGACATTGCCCTCTAACACTTGTGAACACTGCACACACATGTAACCACACCCCTGGATTACCCACTGTGGTGGAATTCTAATTGTACTGAAATGTAATTTTGATTGTATGTTAATAAATGAAGTTGCCCGGGGGTCAGAGCTATTAGAGCCATAGACAGAGTGTGGCAGTGGTGGCACACGCCTTTAATCCCATAGATCTCTGTGTGTTCAGGGATACAGCCAGCATTGGAGACATATGCCTTTAAGACCTAGGGGGCTG